TGAAGTATAGCTGCCAAGATTTAGAAGAAACAAGTGGAATAGGAAAAAGAAGGGTGAGTGGGTAGATTCTTGGTTTCCTGATGTTTCCACTCAGTAGTACAAAATGCTCTGAAAGAGGAATGGACTTCTGGGAAGGCGTTTTGCCTTTGACTGCCTTTAATGCTGAGCAGCAGTCTCAGTTTCCTCCTTACCCTGGCATACATGCCTGTTTTCTATTGTGGAATGTGTTGAGGAAAGCAGCAGATGGGTGTCAGCACTTTGAGGTTAGGCTCTAATAAGAGGCCGCTTAGTGAATCAAGTTATGGTTTATAACACAAGATGTTAGTATTTCACAGTTGCTAACACTGTGAAAGCCAAATTGTACAGATAGTTTGAACTTATTGTGCACTTATTGAATAGATAGTTTAAGAATAGTGTCTTTTTCATGTATTCTGTCCCACCAAACTACAGACTTTTCTGACTAGCCTGGTTCCATTTTTCACCTTCATGTTGGAATATAGCTTCTTGCAGTAGTATACCTCCCTGTCCCACTTTTCTCCACTACATCTTTCATAAAAGTTGTTGCACCCAATTACATTATGTTGGCACATTATGGGAATTCCAGATGTTCTATGTCTTTGCCAGTACTTGATATTGTCAGTCTTTTTATTTTTATTAATTCTCTTGGGCATATAGAAGTATTTCATTGTGATTTTAATTTATACTTACTAGAATCCTAATGGCCATGTGATTATGCTCTTTTCTTTTAAAAAAAATATATTTTATTGATTTTTTTACAGAGAGAAAGAGAGAGGGACAGAGAGTTAGAAACATTGATGAGAGAGAGTCATCAATCAGTTGTCTCTTGCACACCCCCTACTGGGGATGTGCCTGCAACCAAGGTACATGCCCTTGACCGGAATCGAACCCGGACCTTTCAGTACGCAGACCAACGCTCTATCCACTGAGCCAAACCAGTCTCGGCTGATTATGCTCTTTTCTAAGTATCCACTCAAATCTCTTGCTTAGTTTTCTATTGGATTATATGTCTCTTCGCTGTTAATTTGCAGGGGTTCTATGTTTAGGAGTTCTTTGTTTGCTCTATGTGTTATGAAGGTCTTCTTCCATTCAAAAAAGCTTGCCTTTTTGCTTTTAAGTGTGGTTCTTAATGAGCAGAAATGACTAATTTTAATATAGTTATGCTTATTAATCTTTTCCTTAATTGAATTTGCTTTTTGAGTCCTCTTTTTTTTAAAGAAACCTCTGTCTATCCTAAGCTAATGAAGATGTTCGTACAGATTTTTAAAAAAAGCTTTGCTTTTTGCATTTAGATTATAATTCATCATTTGATTTTTGTGTGTGGTATGAGATAGGCTCACATTTTTTTTTCCCTCATGGATTTACTATTACTTATTGAATGACTTTGTCATAAGTCAAGTATTTCTATATGTGTGGATCTGTTTATGAGTTCTTTATTCTGTTCTATTGCTCTACTTATTTATTCTTGCTTCAATACTATCTTTTTTTAATGTAATGCACAGGTAAATTTTAAAGTCTTGATAGTCTGGTAGGGTAAATCCTTAAACTTTTTCCTTTCAAGATTATCTTGTTTATTCTTGGATCTTTGCATGTTCATATGATAATCAGATTATAAATTCCCACAAACAAATCTGCCAGGATTATAATTTAAATTATATTGAATTTGAAAATGAATCTGGAGAGAACATCTTTATAGCAAAAAGTCTTCATATCCAGATTTTCACGCCATTTATTGAACTAGTCTTTAATGCCTAGAAAATATTAATTTAATCTTTAGTTAAAGAAGTCAGATTAAGGATTACTTGGGGTAGGTGGAAAATGATAGGGAAGGTACTACAGGGAAGTGTAGAGATGAGTACATACATCTATTAAAACTTTAAAAATTCTACACTTAAAATGGGATCAATTTATCATCAATAAAAGTCAATATTTAAAAAGAGAACCACACTAAAATAGCTGAAATTAAAAAGACTAACAACATCAAATGATGGTGAGGATTTAAGAGGACTGGAACTCTCATACATTGCTGATATGAATGTAAAATGGTATAACTACTTTGGGAACAGTTTGATAGTTTTATATAAAGTTAAACACACACTTACCATACAATCCCACAGTTCCACTCTCAAGATTTTGCTCAATAGAAATAAAAACATATGTCTACTAAACACTAGTACTACTTTCCATTTATCCTTTAGTTTTAGTTGAGACATTTAGTTGTTTCATCCAGGAAGCTTCTCTGAGATTTTCTCAACTCTTGATTGTGTCGCTCTCTGGCCTCGTAGCATCATTCATTTAACAAATAATCATTGAGTGTCTTTTATCTGCTGGAAATGTGTTAGGCAATGGGATTAAAAGGTGAACAAAGTTGATATCATTTCTTATATCATGGAACTTAAAGTCTAGTGAGAAAGGCAGACATAAAACAAATAGTCACCAAATAAATAATTAGCAATTATATGAAGGAATAGTACAGAGTTTTATGTGAGAGTAAACCTGCTTAGATGAGGGGTGATCAAAGAAAAAAAATTAAAAAGTATATTTAACAAGAGCTCTTATGATTATTAAGATATAGGCAGACAAAGATTGGGGAAACCGCATTGCAAAAGATAAAGTATTTTCAAAGGCTCTAAGTAAGAAATAGAAGAACTTGATGTCTCTGAGGAATGAAATTTTGGTTTAAGTATTAGCTCATTTTACAGATGAGGAGCCTGAGGCTCTGTGGCTCAGTGAATATAGAATATATTAGATACTAAGGTCACCAAATTAATAAATGGGTGAGTCTAGATTCAAACTTTGGAGTTTTATAAATCCTTAGTGTTCTTTCCATTATACCTTGGCATTCCCTAGGGAAAATTTGTACAAAATCTTTCCAAACTATGGTACTTTGTTTCTTTTCCAATACCATAGAACATTCTCTTACCATTTTTTACTTTTTAGCAAAATAGGTATTGTATGTGGAACTATTGCTCTCAACAGGAAAGGGATAATTGACCTGGCACTAGGGAGAGATGCTTCCATTCAATCTGAGGCTTTGAAAACTGATTTTAGCATTCTACTCAAAGGAGTAATTGAGCCTCCAGAGTTGTCAGGGCTATGGCATCTGCTGTACATATTAATCTGTGGATGTCTTTATTTGTGTGTGTGTGTGTGTGTGTGTGTGTGTTTAACAGTATGGCATTACAACTTTCAAACTTTATAGCAAGCATCTTATACTCTACTTTATTTCCATTCAACAATATAACATTGTAAACTTGACCCACCTCTATCAAATATATTTTACAAAATACATAAACTCCTTTTGGTGGTTGATTTCCAGATAGCTGATAAAACATTGAAGTGTTAGCTTCTTTTCTTTTTCCATTTTGATGTGTACATAGATGGGGAAAGGGAGGGAAAAAGTTGTTATGATGCAAAGACGATGTTGGATAGGTCATTATTTTCCTCCAGACAATCTTCTCTATCACCCTGCAGTGAACTGCCCACAATCTAGGATGTAACAGCCTGCTTGCTTAGAACTTCCATGTCATGTCACTTTTGTGCAGTGTTGTAAGTAATTGGTGACTTGTTAGCTTAGAGACCAATTTTAGGAATCCTGTCTAATAAAGCAGGAATATGCTAATTGATTGCCACACCCTCACAAAGATGGCGGCACCCACAGCCAATATGGAGGGAATATCTAATTGACTGACACACCCTCTAAGATGGCCGTGCCTAGTCCCCTCAGCCCTGCTGGGGTGGCAGGTGCATGGCACGGCTGGGCCTGCCCCGAGGTGGGTCTGGCTGCTCCGCACACCTGCCTCCGGAGTCCTTCAGTTCCCTTAGCCCCCAGCTGCTCAGGGCCAGCCCAAGGTGCAGGCAAGCCTCAGATGGCAGCTGCCCAGGGCCGCCCGAGGCTCAGGTAACCAGGGCTGGCTGAGGCTTGCACTGCTGGCAGAGGTGTGATGGGGGCATTGCCTTCCCCTGATCTCCGGTCTTCTCCTGTCCCGAGGGTTCCCAGACTTTGAGAGCGGGCAGGCCGGGCTGAAAGACATCCACCAGTACATAAAATTTTCATGCATGGAGCCTCTAGTGTTTTATAATATATAAGGAAACTTCCCCAGTGGTGCTCCTGCCTCCTTTTGTGATCTGATAAAATTACGGTGTTGTGTTTATCAAAGAACTTTTGTCTCTATGCTTTCCCCTTTTAAATGTTCTTTAAAAAATTATCTATATCTATATCTATATCTATATCTATATCTATATCTATATCTATATCTATATCTATATCTAGATATATCTATATCTATATATGGATTTCAGAGAGGAAAGGAGAGGGAGGGAGAGATAGAAACATTAATGATGAGTGAGAATCATTGATTGGCTGCCTCATACATGCCCCCCACTGGGGATCGAGCCCACACCCAGACATGTGTCCTGACAGGGAATTGAACTGTGACCTCCTGGTTCATGGGTTGACATTCAAACGTTGAGCCACACAAGTTGGGCCCTTTTAAATGTTCTTTAAAAAAAAATGATTATAACATGAAAGAATGAATTAATTCCTGAGCTAATTTTAAAAATTCTTATTGGAGCTTTTCATTTGTAATTTTATATCTTGTTCTTTTCACCCTGAGGAAGAAAATAGTATTTAAAAAATTACATAAAGGTACTGAGTTACCTTTTTTTGACACCCTTAAGCATCGGTTTTGTTGGTATATTACTTGAATGTGTGGAATTAAGCTTTTTTTTTAACTCAAAATTTGGGGGTATTATTATACCAAACATATGATTTAAAATTTGTCTAAAATAAGGTTTTATTATAGAGAAATAGAGAAACAAATTCATAGATAATATTTTGTATCATTAAGGAAACATTTAGTATTTTGTTTAGACTTTTCAAAATATATTTATTTCTCTTACAGTGTTCACCACCCAACTGCGACCTACCTGTGAACAATTTTTTGTTTCTTTAAATGGTCGTCTCTGTTTTCTGTTTGCAGGCAGCTATCAATGGTGTAATACCCCAGGAAAATGGCATTCTACAAAGGTATGTTATAAAGTGTTTAAAGGTAAGATGGGAATTTAGCAAAGCAAAAAAGAGTCATTTCTTAATTTTTTGGTCTCACTTTTTGTAGAGCATTTGACCTTTGGTGTATAAGTTTATTTTAATATAGTTACTATTCTTTCAAATATTTTTTTGTTAGTTATATTTGCTAAAGTCTCAACTTTCAACCATATAATGTTGTGTGATATTTTTAAAGGTGGTTTTATTTTATTTTTAAGAAAGCTTTTCAAGATCATTGTCTAATTATTAGATGAAGGAACCAAATCCTTTAAACCATTGGTAGTGAGAAAATAATACATGGTTCAATAGTGTCAGAGCATGGTTTTCATCTACCTCTACAGGCTTTATCTCCAACTTCACTACATTCTTTCCTTTCTTTCTTTTGGTTTCTAAAATAAGTACATAATAACTTGCCATAATTTCAGTAAGTCCTAAAAATGAACTTCCCAGAGAACTGAACTTCTTTACCTGAAGAATTCAGTATTGACACGTGGAATGGTCTTCGTGGTTTTGTGTCAGTGCCAGAAAGTAAAATTGGAAGAAGATTCCAAGAGATCTATAATTGCTACAAAATAACTTCTTAAGTAAAAATACACTCATAACTTTTCTCTTCTTAGAATTGGAGGCTCTCTAGTTTTGGATTAAAAGAGCGCTCTATAAAGTCATAGGAGGTAAAACCATTCTCCCTTCCAAATGTAGTTTAATTGCTTGACATCCCCTCCTCCCTTTTCTCAATTCAGACTTTGGCTTGAATTTTGGTGGCTGGGATTTCTAAGGCACTGAAGCGTGATCTGCGAAGTGCAGATGAGGCAAACAGAAACAGCAGCCTAGAAAAGAGGCTGTTTTGGAGAGGAAGAAAAGTGCTGTTGCAAAAATATAAAAAAATTTCACAAGGAGCAGCAAAATGTACTGTACTTTAGGAAACTGTGTATATTTAAAAAGGAAGCAAAATTCTGTTTGATACCTGTATTACCTTTTGATTAATGGTTTTTAGGTAAAAGTAAGGATAAATGGACCTATCCTTTACCCGTTTTTAAAAACTGTCAAGAGTTTCATCCAGAGTAAACATAGCTCATTTCTAAAGCCTGTGCTTAATTTTTTGTTTGATCTTTTTTTTTTTTTTTTGCTTCAAAAGCATTTAATCCTAACCTTGTCTAGAAAGCAAACCAGATGATTATAGGAGCCTCCTTCATGATCTTTTTTTCTTCTTGGTTTAGAAAGTTTTAGACTGCAAAATATGCTCCAGTTTTATTCTTGAGTAAATATTATTTTGTTTTTTGTGCCAAAATTTTTGCTTGCTAAGCCCTTGTGGATTCAGCTGCTGGGTTCTGAGTTCATACTGGATATATCTTACATTTAATGGTATTTGCTATGGATGAACGAACTATAGAAATTCCCTTATCCCTGGAAACATCACATCTCCTTTGTTGCCGGTGATACTTTTTGCTTAACATATTTTGTAACTAGAGATTTATAAGTGAATTGATTACTATATAATTGGTTACTATGATATTTGGGGTATAACTTTTATCAGAATGGGTGGGTTGTTTTTGTTTGCTTATAAAATGAAAGGAATTAATTACAGAAGAAAGTCAGTTGTGTCTAGTTACAGTTTTCAACTATTTTCCTTCCTACTAACTTTTCTTCTTCACCTTTGAAAACACTGTGGATTCAGTATAACTGAAAATTATTCTGTATGGGAAATGAAAGAGGGCTCTTCGCACTTACTTATAGGTTTAATACCGAAAGTGGAAGATACAGTGCTAGGAATGGTATATGTTGGCAGTTAAAAGGATATTTGTATCATATGTTTGATATTTATAGTAAAGTTGAGTGTAGTGTGAATACAAGTGACTCTTAATTTGTCAGTTTATACATTAACAGAGAGTTACTAAAAATAGTTTAAACAAACAAACAAAAGAAAGAATTATGTTTGAAGGGAGAAGAGCCCAATCCCTCGGCTTTATAAAATTTTTTTGAAATCAGATATTTGTGTGAATTTAAAAATGGGAATATGGTTTTTAATGTATTCGTAAAGTTTACGGGCAAAGGAACAACTTTTAAAAAAATATATTTTTTTATTGATTTCAGAGAGGAAGGGAGAAGGAGAGAGAAATAAAAAACATCAATGATGAGAGAAAATCATTGATCGGCTGCCTCCTGTACACCTCACACTAGGGATTGAGCCCATAACCTTGGTATGTGCCCTGACTGGGAATCGAATAGTGACCTCCTGGTTCATAGGTCGATGCTCTACCACTAAGCCAACCCGTCTGGGCAACAACATTAAAAAAAAATCTTTTTTTTAAATGTTTAACTTATTGTGCTAGATAATTGACATATTTTTCTTATTTAATACCCATTACAAACGTTAAGAGATAAATGTATTCATGTAGCATAGATGAGGAAACTAAAGGTTAGAGGGTGTACATAGACTCATTCAAAGTCACAAGTGTAGTAGGTAGTGAAGTCTGGATTGTTATCTTTTAAAAGCCATAATCTTTCTTTTATATCACACTGTCCTTGTCAAGGTCAGTAAGCCAGTCATGTCACAACTTCTGTGTTGATTTTTTTTACATTGGGTAAAAAAGTTGAAATTTAATACATGTATATAACACCTTTCTCCCACAGCTTTGTTTTTACAGTTATTATTTTAGTTGTAAGCAAGTAAAGGCAGATTATTATCCCTCATTTTACAGGTAGAAAGAATAAGGCATGAAGTGACCTTGTCCAGATGATACAGCCTGATGTTGATGGAGTCAGGAATATAAGCAAGTCTTCTGCCTCACTCTCTAAAGGCTTATTTCACTAGACAATATGTTGCTAATAAAACATATTTATAAAGTGTATAACTTATGCAGTCACAAATGCAAATCATTCATTTAGTCATAAACACCTAGAGAGTACATATATAGCTATTACATCTTGGTATAATATTTTACATATTTAGCATATTGTCCAAAGTCTCTTTAAAAATTAAAGAGAGCCTATTTTATGTTTTCTAAAATTTATGAGTTAATAGTTTAATTTCATTAAATGGATGGTACTTATCAGTTCATATTTATTTTATTACCCAGACAGGTGTACTGTATATTTTTTTGTCCATTGTTTAATTCATTGAGAAAACCTAGAGAAGACAGGACTTGTTTTCAAACCTTGACCATTATGCTTTCAGAATATATAAATGTCAATGTTTTCTGATTTAGAAAACATCCATTTTGGCTGATTAGTTTCTATTTATTGTCTTCTCTGATTCCCATTTAAAATATTAGATTCTTTTCTGAAGACAAGTTTATCTTTTAAATATGTATTTTTTTGTACCCAGAGATTTTACCATGAGATGTGCTTTTAAAAATTGAAATAAACAAGTGCAGAGTTCCTGTTTACTTTGCTGCTGTTCACTGCCTTCCAAGGACCTGTGTGGGTTGTAGAGGAAAGTTGAGTAAGGATAAAAATACTCCTTTAGTTGAAGTTTAGGTCTAAAATAGATTTCTCTATAGATTTTCCCTTACTAATCAGTGTCCTTTTAAAAATTATTTAAAAATTTTTAAATTTATTTTAAGTTACAGTTTACATTTTAAATTCTTGATTAATTAGAAAAGAATGTTGAGAAGGTCAAATTAAAGGATGGTAGTCTTCAACTTATAATGAAAAATACTTTTTTGGGGTCAACAATTTTGGATGCCCTTGCACTATTTGGATGTCTTTGAACATTAGTGAAAACTGATGGGTTCATTCATGAACTAATAGTCTCTCTCTTTTCCTTTCGTTTTTTTAATTGCTAGTGAAAAACTCTAGTTAAATTTACTATCTTTTCTAGGTTCTGAAATGGAGAAATTATAGCCAGTAAGCAAATTTCTCAAGTGATAACTTAAAAAAAACCTTTTTGTGGCTGACAACCACACCCAATGGCCTTCTCTGATTAGGAATGTTAAGTTATTTCCTAAAGTTAGGGTTTGGTAAAGAGAAAAAAAAAAAGCATACTAGGAATTTCAGAGGGAATTTCATATAGGAAACCAGTTACACAGATATGGAGCAGGTTGAAAGAACAAAAAGGGGATACCAATACAATCCAGATATAATGACTGCAGGAAACTCCGGGACCACCAGGGCTAGTTGGAGGTGGGTTCTGCTGGTTACCAAGGATGGGAGCCTAGGGCTAGAGTAGACTTGCAGTTGCAGCATTCTGTGAGAAAGGTGATAGAGTCAGGACTGAGTGGAGTCCAAGGCACCCACTCCAGGAGGCCTTCTCCAGGGCAGGTCTGCCTGGGAGAGACCCCTGATAACTACTGAAGGTCACAAAGTCCCTCCTAATACTGGTGGGAAAAAGAAAACAGGTTGGGAGAAGTTCAGGTTAATAGAACTTTGAATTTCAGAGTAAGGGCCCTAGGAATTTGGCCCCAGAATGAGAAAGAATTCCTCCTTAGCTGATAGTTGTACATCTGACAGGATGCAAAAGCCTCTTTTTTTTTCTTTTTCTTTTAAGTATTGAATGAAGTTAGAAGCTAACACCAGTGGCTGATGCTGGAACAAAACCAGATGCCATTATTATGGTGCTGTTACTTCTAATGTGATGCAAACTATAAGAAGAGTAGTGTGTGTGTGTGTGTGTGTGTGTGTGTGTGTGTGTGTGTGTGTTCGTGTGCTTGCGTGCACACACACACATGCTGCTATAGCCCTTCTGTTATTGGTCATAAGGCTATGGTAGATATTTACCAGTTTCTTCTTCCACTATTTATTCTATATTTCCTCTGCCAGCACCTCACATACTCAAGATTCTTTACCTGGTGGGACATCTCGAACATTCATTCTTGAAGAATTAGAATCCTCAGTGGCCCTGTCTTTTAAAAAAAGGTTATAGTTTTTCATTAACACTTATTATTGGACATGCCACAGAAAATAGTCCATTCTGTAGTAGCAACCTATTTTTTTTTTTTTTCTTGGTAATCAGGACCAGTCATTTCAGCTAGTACTTTCTTCCT